GCTCGGTTGTGTGACATAAAACATGTTAAAAAATACTGAGCGTGTATAACGTGTGTGGTATATGGCGTCCCGTTACGTTGCGACAGGTTTTATGTTGGACAGTCTGGTCGATGTATCATTGTTCGGCTGAGGGAGCATGAAAATCTACTCTCGGGCACTGGTGGTAACTTGCCGTTGCACTGGAAGTCGTGTGGTTGTACGCCCCTCTTCAATAAGGTTACAATTTTAGGTAAGGATAAGACGCAGCTTGAACGGGAGATTGATGCATTTCAAATCTGAAAACTGGGCCGTCACTATTGTGTTAGCGTAGCCTCAATTGATCTCACCTGGAAAGAATGTTTGTCTTTAGCACAAGGTGATTTACCAAAATTAGCTTGATGGGTGTTTATGATTTGTTAACTGCGCATGCTTTGTACGGACTTGGAAGGAAGGTTGTTCCGAAATAAACGTTAGTTGTAAGCGCCAGGTCTCAGCTCTCTGTCTCTGTTTCTACTTCCCTGCTTCTTCCTATTTCGACGTTTTGTGGCTTTTATAGTTCACCAAGGTAGACAGTATCTGCATGCTTTACTTTCCGGGTGTTCAGCACCGATTTAAATTAACCTTAAGTATGCTATCGGACTGGGAAACACGTAAAGTGATTGATTGATATGTGGGGTTTAACGTCCCAAAAGCACCATATGATTATGAGAGACGCCGTAGTGAAGGGCTCCGGAAATTTTGACCACCTGGGGTTCTATAACGTGCACCCAAATCTGAGTACACGGGCCAACACCACTTCCGCCTCCATCGGAAATGTAGCCGCGGCAGCCGGAATTCGAACCCGCGACCTGCGGGTCAGCAGCCGAGTACCTTAGCCACTACACCACCGCGGTGGGGCAACACGTAAAGTGTCCATCAGTTATTTAGGTCATAAGTATAAGTTTAGTTTGCCAGACTGCCCTAAGTGCAGCTGCTATAGTGGTAGCGTCAATAAAATGTGTGAGCTCTGTACTCCGGAGTACGGAGTCGGGCTTTTGCGGTCCGATGTTGATGCATCGACCAAAATATACAATAAGACATCTGCCACAACCGAAAGCAACCTGGTACACACTCGTGTTTCTGCGTGAACAGTAGTACGGATTCTGCTTTATCTGCCACCTGCGTGTACTCTGCGTACTGCAGTAACGCGCCATTTTTTAAATTCCTGCGCACAGTTTTGAAAGGTTGTTAGGCATTGTAGACAGAGCGGTCACACCACACCTCACTGGTACATAGTTCATAGACAGTTTTGACAGCTTATGTACGTACAGAATAACTCAAAACATTTGTTGGGATGCTTTTCGTACTTTTGAGATTTCTCGCTTTGCTTTTTAACAGCAAAGCTGCTAAGCTCGAGGCGAGATAGATGACTACAAAAAGATACCCTCCTTATGAATGAACATGGGCGGCTAGCGCTGCCTAGCAGTGAGCCGAAACGTGTTTGAGCAATACTTAGAATAACAGTGCATGCGGAGAACCAAGTGGTGGAGACACCGCGTGTAGCCATGTTAGGCCACACTGCGACAGGTCTGACGCACGCCACTTACGTGCAGTGTCGGATTTAATTACACTGATTGTTGCCAAGCGACCAGTAACTTTGCAGCTTGCTTTACATAAGCGCGAGTGCTTAGAGAAAGTGCTTTGAATACATAGAGGCAAGCTTCACGCGTAATCGAAAGCCATCATTCGCTGTTTTTTGTCTTTCACTCCTGCAGCCGAGCAAGCTTGATTCAATTACCACCGGCCTTCTGATTCTCATGCTGCAAGTCGCTGAGGGCTGACGAGCTTTGCTGTGTCAAGCTGAAATGTTATGGGATCTTATGTAAAACGTTTGCTGATGTCCAAGCCTTTAAAACGTTCTCCCTGTTTTCATAGGCCTGCAATTTAAGAAGCATTCTCTTAAGCGATTCGCGACGCAACTTTTAACAGCCTCCGCAATAAGTTCGCCACTAGGCGCACGGTTTGTACGAATTAGGAGGGATAGAAAGACCAGAGATGTCTTTAGAAGCTTGCTCAGAAAGCTTATGCTCGCCCCTTTCCTGGTGGCGGCATACGGTATGTACCCGATGTTGTAGTGTAAACTTCTTCAGTCACCGTGCATGGCGTCAGCTCCGAGGGAATTTAACAATGCTCACTAGCCCTTTCGGTCCAAGCGGTGTCAATTGACACCACCGCACAACATTTCCCCTAGTATCTCGGAAACGTAACCAATACTGGTCATTCTTGGGGGCATAGTTCTTCAATGATCCCCACTGCAATCAACGCCAATACTGTGGCGTGTTTGCAAAGGTAGCAGCCACTAAGAAAAAGAAGCGCGGCCGAGGTCTTCCGTGAAGCCGAGGCGCGTAAGTTGAGGCGGTAAGCGCCATTTTTGGGACGACGCACCAAAGCTGTTTCATTCAGTATTAGGCTGAAAAGTAAGACGTTGGTTTCCATTTTGTGTACACCATTGATTGGCAGAAAAAAAGATGCCATTTTTTGCATTTTCTAATCACTGAGCCCTAATTACCTAATTTGATGCCACGCTAACTAATGTAAAGTGCTTGTGCCGGTGGCTCAATTTTTGTTTGTGGTCTTGTGAGGTCCTAACTACGAGAAAAATGCGCACAAAAAGTGTATCCGACCAAAACAAAAAATCCAGGGCTGAAAGGGCTAGATGCCGCGCAGCAACCAAAGAGGTGGGTTTTCTATGTCCCACGCGCTCACCTTTTGGTGACTACGTACATCTCGTTCTCGTCCCTTCGTAGGCACGGCTGCCATTGACAAGTTCCTACGATGAGTGTTAAGCGTGCATACTGAAGTCCTCCCAAGCTTTGTCACCAGCCTGTTCTCAACCTCGCTGAAGAACGCCTGATAGCTCCAGGCCTGCCATTCATTAGCGTTAGGCATTTGACTCACGGCAGTGGTCACGATGGCATGAAGGGGCAGGTGGTTGACGCGCCGATGAACGTGGCCACCTCTCTGCAATGTCGACCGAGGCACGTTCCGAGCAACACTGCCTTCGTTGTATAGACATCATGCGCCAGCATGTTAACGAGCCTTGCTATAGAAATTATCTCGCTTAGAAACCCACCGTGCACTTTCAAGAAAGTTCCTCTCTTATCATTTACACTGCATATGGCGGTGATTTTTTAATGCGTACTGTGCCTAACACTAAGCGTGCTGCCTCATATGGGTAACATCGAGGAGAGCACTCGAGACACGTACTGAGCACGAACGAAATGCGTCATGACCCTCGAGAATTGCAGCCAATTCAAAGAAGGCTGTCTTATGTGGAATAAACTACTATTACGTTCCAGTTTTTTGCATAATGCTTTGATTCGTTAATAAATGCTGATATCAACAAAACTTGAGGGTTTAAAGTGACGCTTGGTCGAATAAAGAATGCGCAGCCAAAAAAATCAAGGCATTCGATGCATATATATATATATATATATATATATATATATATATATATATATATATATATATATATATATATATATATATATATATATATCTACCGAAGCTTCGAACATACAATGTGGGGCCATATTACCGGCAACATGTTGGTAATTCACTGTTATCCATTTTCACGCATTGTTAGCAAATATCACCTGGCTTAGCTATTATTAGGGTGCCATTGCTTTACTTATTGTTCTTATTATCATTACTTTATAATATACTTGTTCAATTGCATAAAGATATGTGCCATTTGACTAACTTGCTCTATGCTGATATTTCGGACAATGGAAGTTAACGGGAATAAATATATCACATTTGACGTGGCACTTCCGGTCAATTCAATTTGAACATCAGGGACTGGCTTTGTGCATATAGGTAACGGTTCGACTTGTCCCCACTTCCTTCGTAGCTTAGTGGCAACCATCTAGGATAGCAAAAATTGTAGGTACAGATTATATTCCAGGTCACCAGTACCGCATTTATGTTAAGGCCAAATGATAAACCCCGTGAACTCGGTTGTCAATGCATATAAGGGAATGCCACTCAGTCAAGAATATTCTCAAATTCCTCATAACAAAACGGTTAGTTACCAATCATTTTGACAAAGTCCAGTGCCTAATATTAGTAATAATATTATTAATATTATCACTGATAATAATAATTGTTCAAATAGTCTGCACAAAGCACACTCCTGCACAATCAAAGAACATTTGAAAGAAGACGAAAACGACTGAAAGAAAGAACGCTGAAATCTGATGTGTTCTACGCCTGTAGTAAGGAGCAGTACAGTAGACGTCATTGTAATGCAGTTTTTTGCCAAAACGTACAAAAATAGACAGGGCCATCTGACTTGACAGCACCATAGTAAAGTGTTTTTAGCTTTGAGAGATGCTGCAGAGAATAGAGACTTCTACAGCCAATAAACGGTGCAGTCCTGACGTCTTGTTTGTGGGTCTAGTATGAGGCAAGAATAATTGTATGGCTAGTAACTTGGTCCACTCTGTTATTAAAATTATGTCATACTCTTCCATTCCTGCATGTTGTCACATGTACATTGCAAGCATAGCAGAAAAAACTCATAAAAATTCGAAGCCCTGGCTGCTCATGTCAAGTCATATTCACCAATGAAAGCCCTGACAATTCTGAGCTATTCTCCAGAGATTCACGGAGGACAAGTCCCAAACCATGTTAAGGGCATCAGTTAAAATGACGAAGTGATTTTCTGCATCCTGACTTTCCCATCAGCAAATGCTACGGTCGGACCTACGCTTGTCGTATAAATGCAATGCGTTGGTAGCGGGTGGTATCTTTACTGATATTTCTTAACATTGATTATTTCATTATTCGTTGTTTTGAAAGTGTGGTGACATATTTAAATTGATAGGTTAGAAATTTCATCAAATGGCCATTTTGATTTCTGGCGCACGCAAGATCAAATGCTAGCATGACGACGATCATTTTCTTGGAAGCGGTGACCAGGGGTCTTGAACATTGGTGCTTAGGTCACAGTCGGTCTAGCTTGCGTCTTCATAAAAACAGTTACCATCTGCAAAGAAGACGCTACTTCATTATGACACTTTGAAATAAGCTGAGTGGCGCCTATTACGTGACCAGTAAAACAATCAACACAAGATATTAGCTTTCTGATTCTACGTTAGCGTAAAAATGATGACAAGATGTCTATTGGGTTTATATCAGCGGCTATTATGTTTCTATTCTTGTTTATGCGCCATTCTTCAAGTCACACTCTGCGGTAAGAGTAAGCTCATTCATTTTTACTTGAAGCCCTTTATTCGAAGTGCTAAGCACCACATCTCTTTGGAAGGTAGCGTAAAACATACCAGCGTTATGATGCAAAGGTTATGCCATGCTATGAATATATGTATGAATTATTTACTATTTAGCTATACATTCACTATATTCGAGGGGGATGTGTACGGGAGCCAGAACTAGCAGAAAGTGATATCACTTCACGGTAAAAAATCCAGTTTTATTTCGACACAGGCGGTAATATGGCGTTTACGGAACAATAATGATGCGCTATTGTGTACTCGCGTTACACGTTTTAACTTGGCGGGATACGTGCGCAAACAAGCGAGTTCGTAATCTCACCTGAATAGAAACAACGTTGAGATGCACAAACCAAATATTTTTGGTGAAGACATATTTAGAGTCTTGTGATGCCATTGCAGCGTATCATAACGTTGTCAGGACAGACTTACTTGTATATGACCGTTTCGCACAATCCGCCCGCTGTACTCGCATCGCATATACCCGTAGTACTAACCCAACGACACATGTGAAATAAGTACAACTGTATAAACTGAAGCCACTTATTGAGCTGTTGGGCGTGAGCTCGAATTGTGGAGCTGTGATCGGCATCTCTCATGGCCGCACTTTTGCGAACAGGAAACTTCAAAAAGTGGTGTGGTAGCCTGCGTTTGCACGTGTTTCTTTAGGAGCACAAATAAAAAAAAGGTTACTAGGATAGTTATTTTATTGGTGGCAGCACCTGAGAGTGGTCCATGCCATATAAAATGGCGGGGGTCGGCCTGACCCTAGGCCAAGCTGGCTCCAAGTAACTAAATACAAAGGCATCACTCTACTGCAGCCACTTCAACTTCGAAAGAGCAACCCTCTCAAGACTCTAGGCCAGCTGGGTAATCAACTACTTAGAGAAACAATTGGCCCCGTATCTGCATGTAATCTGCAAATGCCGTCGAAAGACGATAGTCTTTAGTTTGGAGAGAGTGAACAAAACATTTATTTCATGTTCTGCGCAAGAAAATTGGTGAATGGTATTCCGGAGGCAATACGTTAGAATGCCTCGAGCGTGCAGCGGAGGCGAACGAGCGCATCGAGGCACGTTAGCCTCGAGCGCCATCTGGCAGTTATCTCCGAAAACGAAGGAAGACCTGCGTGTCTGCGGAAAAAGATGCTTGCATTCTTGGAGGTGATAAGGTGTAGAAGCAAAGTGACGGGCAGGTGCCACCACCGTGTCGTTTTAGCAATGCGTTGGTAAAACTTGCCTTTTTGAGCCCCGCGTCGCACTGTCAGCGCAGCGTGTTTAACGCTACAGTCCTTAGACTTACTTGTCTGTGCGTTCTCCAGTATAAAGGCACACATACAAAACATCGACGTGTTCTTATGTTACCACAGATAATCGCAATGATTGCTTTTAATTGACATCGCACTCGTAAGAATGCTGATTTTTGAGCAACATAGGTTGGCGCTGCGGATGGAGTTGGTGCTCTTTAGAGTAACCGGTTCATGGTAACGGTGGACAAACAGACAAACGTACAGACAGGCAGAGCAAAGCTTTCTCGTTGAAGCTCCCTAAGAAAAAATATCATCTTTAAAAAACTCTGAGGCCCAAGCCTACCCGGTTTCCATCATGAGCCCCACAGAGGGCGTTGTTGTGGTTCTTGCAAGCGGCTGCACTGAGGAACAAATTGTGATTGTTGCCGGGCAATATTGCGGCCTAGTACTTGGATAGTACTCCACTAACTTAATTTACTCCTACTATCACAAACTACTCTTGTTGTCTTTCCGTCTTTTAAACCCATTTTCCTCTTCTCAAGCACAGGGTAGCAAAGCACAGTATTCCTGCAGTATACCTTCCTGTCTTTCGTCTACTTTTCTCTCTTTTTCTCTCTGTGCTTCGGCTTAAAAGCACATTCGAGAAACCTAGCTGAGTGGCTCTCACCCATAGATTTCTCTGAACCCTCTCGCAGAATAATGAAACTGCTGAGGAACTTATGGCACTGAAAGTTGTAAAATTAATAAACGTTCAGTGCCAAAAGGGTGCATTTCCTTTTTGCCTGAAAAAGAGTGGCCAGAATAAAGGGCCACACCAATTCAATCACGGCAGCTTTGTGAACGAGTCCTAATGGCAGACCCACTATCGTATTGCAGAAAAATTTCGCAAAAGCTGACTTCTTCAGCATTGCAGAGGGGTTGCTCTCATTCATGTCCCACTCTCTTGGTGCCCCGTTAGTTGGTGCTGCCAAAACTTCAATTTAAGCAGTTTCATAGTGAGAATGATAAACGTTTCTGAAAACGTTCCACAAGCCCCTTTAAATCTTTTTCAGTTGGCAGTGAGGGCACGCTGGTCTTTCCTAAATTACTTGAAAGCCGTGACGACGTAGGGACGAAACTCATAAAAATAAACGATGATCTCACACTGAGCTTGGAGAAGAGTTCAGTCATGGGCAAGGAGTTTTTACTACGTACATATCAAGGACATGTTATGCAGCACAATTACGTAAGTTGTCAGAAAACTTGAAATTATTTATTGAGATTAACTTTGCTTTTGTGAAAAGGCGCTGCTGCTGATAATGCGGGTGTGAATTGTGGGTATGTACACCGCAATTCAAGAGCGCGTTGTAAATGAGCAGTTGGCTTGTTGTATAAGATTTGCATCGTACTTCGAAAACAATGAATAATTTATTGCGCGAGAATAATTTGTACACATCTTGGATAAGTATAGAATGATAAAGAATTCTTGTTTTTGGAACCTTTGTTCAATGAATCACGTGAAATCCTGCGTGACAACAACATTGGCGGCATTGCTAGCTAATACAACTTCATTGTGTTCATTGTTGCATGGTCAGTAAGTTGACCAGCCTCTCTCAGTTCGTTCAGATATGATAGTTTTACGAGTTAGCGCTCATGATAGTTTACAGCTTCCTGAGTCATGTGCTAACGCGGTGCTGAAATAGCACCAGTGATGTGGAAATATTTAGTGCACAAGGTTGAAGGAAGGAAGCACGTGACAGGAAAGACGCTCAACTTACCACTGCTGTTTTATTAGGCAATTCATTACACGAGAACACCGTGCATATTTCCACATTATGTTGTACCAACTGGCCCAGCATTCTATTTTATTGAGCACCAGTGAATTATGTCTGAGAGAATGCTAAATAAAATGTCTGATAATCCAATGTTTAATTTATGTTCATTTTACTGCGTTCGCGGAAACCGAATCTATGCAAAAAATAAATTACTGGTCTTTCCTGTTTGGTGCAGCTAGATGGTGAAGCTCTGGAAGAGGACCTTTATCATGATCCAAAACTGTTCGCCTCAGTAATTGTGTCTGAAGAAGATGGATTGCAATTGGTACGACACCAAGTTCGTTATTTTCTGTATGTGTAATTTAGACATACCACCGAGATAACGCTTGTGACATCCTAATGCGCGGCAGAACAGGCCTTATTAGAAAGGGATTGCTGAGCTGGTTAAAATACCGATGTTTGGTGCATTGACTGCACAAAAGAAATTATATATATATATATATATATATATATATATATATATATATATATATATATATATAGAGAGAGAGAGAGAGAGAGAGAGAGAGAGAGAGAGAAAAGCAGCCAGCAATATCAACAAGACAGAGAAAGCACCATTGCTTTCCCATTTTCTTGTTTTGCGTGTTAGCGATGACAATGTATCAAAATGCATATTCATTTGCGTCCCACACATTATGTACGTTATTTAAAGCTTGAAGTTGAGTCATTCTAAAAGTGAAGTTCATTATTCCTATTAGGAGGGTGTTCTCGGGACAAAGCTGGCTATAAAACCACTAGGTGGCCAAGGAAGATCGGCTGGATCCGGGGACGTGCCACATCTTGTCTACAAAATAGAAGACCATGATGGAGTTTACGCGGGACAAGGTATAGTTGAAGAAAATGCTACTTCGGGGATAATATAGTTACTGTAGGTAGAATACAGCAGTTCGACAAGGATTTTCTTGAGTTTGGTGAAGCACATTGTAGACTTTCACTTCGCTTTCTTTGCTGAAATGATTAAAAATGCGTGGTCCGCATTTGAACTTCATTTAACAATATAACAAATGGCTTTTACCTACATATTCAATGTTGCGAAAGCATTGTGTATTACGGATTGGCGCCAACTGTCACTGAATTGATAGGTGTAAAACCGTGACTGCAAATATAAGAACCAATGCATTTTATCAGCAGTCTATAGTGACTAGCAGTCGGCTGTCGAGAGCATTTTTCTGAGAAATTCCACCAGGACAGTGCTATCGACAGCAATTACGACAAAGCAATTCTATAGACGGCTAGGTCCTAGGCGGTACACGCAGCTACTTTGGCACGCCCGCTCATGGCGCGTAAATTTCTTAATTGGAATGTATATTTTATCTGTATTTTAACAAGGGAGCTGCTTGAGTTGTTCATAAAACAGTGCTTCAGGCAAGAAAGACAGTTCAGTGGCAAACACGTTGAAAAAAATGCTGGCTACTGGCAATCACCCACACTTACGAAGTTTTTTCGTCGCATCGCAGAACTGCTTTTCAAACATTACAGACGCGAATGGGGCCGGATGAACTTGAATAGCAAGAGAAAAAGAAGGCATAATGCACGTGTTACTGTAAGTTACAGATCGCGCCGACCATTGTGTCACATGGCAACACCAAGATAAGAGAATTGAGCTTTGTATGCAAATAACGTACTTTGAATGAACATATTGTAGGATGAAACAAACAAATTAAAGTTATATTACCTACATTTTTTTTAGGCATAGAAGTGGAGGAAAACGGAAACATTTCTGAACGGCAGGATCAAAGTAAGTGCGACGTCATCGTTTTAAATTTGCTTTCGAACTTTGTGATTCTTCTAGTTGTGACTTCTGCTTTGCTTTCCAGATGGCGCGAGGCCCGAAACTGTATATCCAGAAATGTTACTTGTAGTTGACAGCACATTCAGGGCTCAGTTCAAGACCAATTATACACTGCTGAAGTATTTAATGATTACTATGAACTCCGTAAGTAGCCTCCAGAAATTTCACTCTGCAACAGATGACCATTTTCTGGCTCACAGCAGACACCTTGTAGGTTTACTATGCAGTGAAGTCGTCATTGTTTTATAGAGAATACTTACGATGGTGATGTTACATTGTGGAGTTACTCTGAGAATGCGGTGGCAGAAATTTTCTGAAGCTAATTTTTTGTCATTCCACATATTCAGGTGAATGTGCGCTACATGACTGTATCTAGTCCTTCCGTACGACTGAAGTTTTGTGCAATGGAAATATTAACTGTAAGTAAAAATATTATTTTACACTAACCGCCTATTCTATCTATTATCTTTTCTTTGCTTGAATTTTACGTGGCTCTGTTTTTTTTTTACAGGTAAGTCAAGAGACTTTCATACTCCGGGAAGGAAAATATGTTCATGCACTCCGCACACTGGCAAACCTACGAGGCCATGTTCGGAACAACACGGAGAAGTACGGAATCTACGACGGCGTTTACCTCGTAACCGGGTGCGCATCTTACTATTCATTTCTGAGTGTTTTGTATTACCTTTTGATTGATCCTATAATGCTTTAATTATCTGTGTTTCGCAGGCTTGACATGGGTGAGCGTACCTATTACGGCTGGAATGGCAACCTTTTGGGTAAGGTTCTTTTGCACACATATATGATAAGCACAGCGTGCACGTGCATCGAATGTTTCAGTGAAAAAAACGATACTTTCAAATCGAGTGGTGCGAATTCGCACAATAAATTTATTTGGATGAAAAGCTACCCTTTATTGTCGCAAGACCTCTTTTTAAATTTACATAAGGAGTACTACACATAAACAGCTAACTATGCTGCGTGTTTGTCAGGCTAATAACACCAACCTATGGTGGTCTGTTATTCATAATTTTGAGGGAACTATTAGGCAAGTTTACTTTTGTTTATTGAGGGGCACTGAAGTGATTGTACGCTTCTACATCTTTGACAGTAGTGAAAAATCTGTCGTTTCATGTGTCATGTGAAAAATTAACTGTTTTGAGTGCCGGTTGTTCAGAAAACCTTGATTTTTTTGAACGACAACCGTTGCTCCATTTCACAAAACTTTAAATAAGGAATTCAACAATGCACAAGACCTAATTAGGTCGCACTTAATGTAATTATTCTCTAGCATGACATGAATGACTCGTTTTATAGTACAGCAACCTGAGAAAGCGCACTTGAATGTCTAGCCGTAAAGACAAATTATGTGTTCATATGCAACACTTCCAGGTCAAGCCAAGTTGGATATCGCTTGGTCTTCACAGCATAGAATTTTTTCTTTATACTTTCCAGGATTACTGGTAGGTTTTCGAAATACATTTAGTGCTGTTATAGCCCGATAAACTACTACCTAATAAAATACCAGAAAGATACTTTGGCTTTTCTGGCGAATACATTCTAAAGGCAGTCATGCTGCTTCACAGGTGGGAATAATGTAAACACCTAGGAGTAAGCTAGCAATTTTGTTGATATCAATTGATTTAGGTGAAATGGTCAGTTGACAGTGCGACGTGTATTGACAAGCGTTCATGATACATGAGTGGTTGGTGCAATAAAATTAAGCTTAATATTTAGTATTTTACGTGGCAATGAAAGATAGAACCCTTCGTAGACTGCGTAGTTGGCTACTACAAAATAAATAACGGGGCATGTCTCTTGTTATTACAGGCTATGCATACATAGGCGGCATATGCACCTGGCAGAAAGTTGGTTATGGAGAAGACACAGTAGGAACATTCAGAGGCATCCGGATAGTGGCACACGAAATCGGACACCTGTAAGATGGCCGCAATCTCTTACTTTCAAAGACCAATGTCATCCTTGAGATGTTTAGAACAAATGTTTCTACAATTTGGCTTACGATAAACTCTACTATGGGAGAGGAATAAGATGTTCCGATTTCAGGACATAAAACCAGACATACTATAGAATGCAGCCACAAAGAAATTTGGTCTGCCTGTCTGCTGCACGATTCAGCCACCTAGTCAATGTTTAGTCACTTTATAAATGCCCAGCCATCTTCACCTGGTGGCTGCGCTCATACTTGTGAACACTGTCGTTCAAAAATCAAATATTACGCATGTTTCAGGCGTAAATTCAATCAATCATCATCATCAGCACGAGCAGCACCAGCAGCAGCATGACTACATCCACTGCAGGACAATGACCTCTCCCATGTTTCGCCAGTCAACTCGGTCCTGTGCTTGCTGCTGCCAATTTATACCCGCAAAATTAATCTCATCTGCCAACCTAATCTTCTGTCTCCCCTTAAACCGCTTGCCTTCGCTAGTAATCGAGTTAGTTGCCCTTAATTACCAGCGATTATACTGTATACGTGCTACACACCCAGCCCATGTACATTTCCTCTTCTTGGTTTCAACTACGATATCCCTCACCCCTGTTTGTTCCCTAATTCACTCTGCTCTCTTCTTGTCTCTTATGGTTACACCTACCGTTTTTCTTTCTATCACTCGGTGCATCATCCTCAATTTAAGCTGAACCTTCTTTGTAAGTCTCCAGGTTGTTGCTGCGTAGCTAAGTACAAGCAAGATGCAGGTTTTATATACCTTCCTCTTGAGGGATAGTGGCTATCTACCTGTCATGATTTGAGAGTGCCTGCCAAATGTGATCTACCCCATCCTTATTCTTCTAGTGGTTCGGCTCCATGGTTATTACCTGTCCTAAGTAGACATAGCATTTCGCAACTTCAAGTGCACTATTACTTATCTCGAAGCGCTGTTCTATTCTCAGGTTGCTGTACATTACTTTGCTTTCCTACAGATTAATTTTAGGACCTATTTTTCTTCTCTCCCTGTCTAACTCCGTAATCAAGAGTTGTGATTTGTCCCTCTAGTTACACAGCAATTCAATGTCATCGGCGAAGGGCAGGTTACTAACGTACTCTTCATTAACCCTCATGCCTAACTGTTCCCCTTCTAGGCCTCTGAAAACCTCATGTAAACACGTGGTAAATACTATTGGGGAGATTGTATCCCCCTGCCTTACACCCTTCTTGATCGGTATTCTGTTGCTTTCTTTATGAAGCGCTATGGCAACAGTTGATCCTCTGTAAATTTCTTCCAGGATGTTTATATATGTTTAGTTGACGCCCTGATTCCGCAGTGTCTGCATGACTGCTGAAATTTCTACTGAATGAAATGCCTTCTCGTAATCTACAAAGGCTATGATAATGATTGGCTATATTTTGAGCATTTCTTTATTACCTGATTGATAGTATGAATGTGATCGATTGTTGAGTAGCCTGTTCGAAATCCTGCTTGTTCTTTGGTTGATTGAATTGTAATTTTGTCTTAATTCTGTTAGAATAATTACCGTTGTAAATTGCTTGTATACTACAAAAAGCAAGCTGATCGGCCTGTAATTCTTCAAATCGTTGTAATTTCCTTTCTTATGTATTAGGTTGATGTTAGCATTCTTCCGAGGTTCCGGTACTCTTCCCGTCAGGAGATGCGTCGTAAACAGAGTCACCAGTTTTTCTAACACAATTCATCTTCCATCTTTCAGCAGATATGATGTTATCTGATCCTCACCAGCTGCTTTGCGTATTTGCATGCTCTCCAACGCTTTTCTGACTTCTATCCTTACTGGTGGCGTGTCATCTGGGTTACTGGTAGTTCTTATAATCAATACGGAAAATACGCAAACGCAATGTACAAAATACGCAAGATCAATAAGTAAGTATTATGTTGTATGATCGTTTATTCGAAAATACGCGAACACATACTTTTATAGAGGCTAGTGTTTCTTACGCAGAGGAAAAAATACCAGGCTATGCACTAAAAAGACGGCCGGCTGAAGACTATCATCTTTTGATGACGTTTGCAGCGAAGCCACGAATATGCTCTTCTATTTTTGTTTTCTAATTATTATATATTATTAGTTATTCGTTGTTCTGGTACCACGGGCACGTACCGTCACTGAACTGTTTGCTTGTTAAGGTATATTATGTATGCATAGGTACGCTGCAGCACTTCCAGGGGTCACACTGTGATGGCAGTGAGTTCACAATTTAGACGTTCAGAGAGACCAGCATGTAATTTGACAGACCCTTTCGGGAGTAGTACGCAGAAAGTCACCATTAGGCACCCATTTTGTGTCTTTCAGGCTCGGCTGCCCGCATGATGGAACCACAAGTGGCTCGTATACTTCAGCAAGCTGCCCCTGGAATGACGGTTACATCATGAGTTACATGGAAATTGACAGCAAGAGCATGAAGTTTTCAAGTTGTTGCAACTCAATGATTTCCTGGCATGCATGGCAAGTTACTTGGTTTTGTGTGAGCATTGACCAGCATAAACTGTTAAACCACCGTGTTTGTGAAGAGTAATTTGTCCACTTGAGAAACTTGGCCTTCTTAATTACTTTCACTTCGCCAGTCTACCAGACTAAATGGTCGTGCTGTTTTTTTTTTTGCTTAATCATCATGAACAGTGGGCCACACATTTAGAAGTACCTAAATATGACTAGCAAAGATATTACATTGGACAGACTTTTAAAAAATAAATTATTCAGCTGACAGGATTTACTGACACAGGTTTGCCCTCTCAATACAGGTCTCGATCTGGTGCCTGCCTTCTAACTGCGAGTGCGAAGCGGAAAATAAAGAAGATATATTTCACAAAGCTTTTCGCTGGAGACATAATGACTAGAGACCAGATCTGCAGGATATCATTTCCTAATGTACCCGAAACCCGTTTTATCAAAGTGAGTCATTCTGTGACTTTGAACTTTAAGGTTTTTATCGGATGTTGAACATCGCTTCCGAACCATATGGGAAGTTCTGGTCACCTTAACCACAAGATTTCAAGACCTCTAATGTGAGGTAGATAACGCGTAAATATTACTTCGGGTTTCGTAAGAATGCTGCGAACAAAGTAATCTGCACCCTAGAATAATCAAACTTCTTGGAAAAAAATCACAGCGCACATTGCTTGTGTAAACCCTACCACATGACGTTGAATTTTTTCCAGCACTGTCTATTATTTGGTAATCTCAGTCAATCTAGGCTGGCTTGTATAACAATGGTGAAATGATTTATTACCATGTCTTGCAATGCATTTGTTACACACGATAAGGTGTTTCGCATAAAAATTCAGCTAGCTCTACAAAATCAAGCTGGCACTTTGGATGAAGACAGCTACTGGAGGGACTCTGAAAAGGAATCTATGCATTCGACATTTTGTTGACGACCCTTCTAATGTGCAAGTGTATGACGATGTCTTCGTTTACATTGAACATCTTTCACAAAGGCCGTGAATCAAAAATGACAAATTATTTTTTTGCAGTCTGAACTGTATAAAAGCAAGTATATGGCATGAATGGTAGAAGAAATTTCGTGCGGGATCTTTCATTCACCACAAAACGTTAAAACCCACCAAGAACTATCCCACCTTTGTTCACGTGTTTTGCGCGCTTTTTTTGGGAACAGTAGGGCTACCTGTCACCAGCACGTATGTACTTCTGTGCGTATTTGTTAAACTGTAGATTAAAATGCCAAATGGATATCTGCAGGCAGGTTGTCGTTAGTGCACGTACATGCCAAGGAACTCGGGCTAGCCACACAAGCCACTACTGTTGCACTAAATGTAAAGCAAGTTGCCATAGGCACCCGCGCAAGTAACACGCAATTCGGGCAAGCCCTGCAACTTACTACGGGTTGCACTTAAATGTAGTGACACGCACGATTCCTCGAGATTGTTCAGAATACGCTAAGAGCACGCGGCCAGCCATGCAGACGATTCATGTCGCTGGGAAGAAAAAAACATTGCTCCTCCATTGTAAGCCTCGCAGAAAGCGTTACCTCAATTAGACGGCAAGCACAAGAACAAAATCTCAGCCACCAGTCAGATTTGTGATGTTTATCGAGCTTTTGTGACTGATTTTACACTCCTACCGGCTCCTTGGTTCGTTTCCGCACTAGATAAACACTCGCTGCGCTCGATACATTGAATGAAACAGCAGTTTTGACAGCATGGCGAAATCTGGCGAAGGACGTCAGTGACTGTCTCGCTCACCTCATTGTACTTGTTAATGAGTTGGTGACTACGTCATGGGCCTCCCGAGTGCTCTTCAGAATCAAAACTGCCTCTGGTCGTAGCGTCGAGGCAAATGAGTTTTCTTTCCACTATTGTCAAGTCAGCAGTCACTTATATCGAGAAAAAAAAATGGTTGACAAAGGCTACCACTGCTTCAACAGCTTTTTCCTTGTGCGTACGTGGGAAGATCACCGACAAACTCAAAATGTGAAGAATCTGCAGGAATGCTCACATAGCTTGTTAAACTAGCAACCATATATACTTGAAGCAGTACATTATCAAGTTATGAATGTTTACTGGGGCAAGACTGGCATCTTCCTTTACGCATAAGAACAAAAAGCTGTTTTTTGTATCACCTAATTGTATTCTGGTTGTCATGTGACACACTTGATTGCATGAGCTATTCGCCATCGGTAGTTTCATTTAACTAATCAGTGAGTGTTTAAGATTGCCGACATAGGTTGAACAGCCCTCCGCCCCTCAAAAATTTAATAGAGGCAAAACTTTTTAGCTTACAATATATAAAATATAAACAGCGGGTAATAAGAAAAAACAAACATAAAATTATAGCAGCAATAGAGGAGTAATTATTCAGCAAACTTTCTAACTTGTTGGAATAGCATAGGCAATGGTTCAAGAATAATTTATGGGGCGTGTTAAAAGGATCCACTGCTAAAGGCAGTGTGGGCTACTTTTCCACCACAGAAAGCTGAAATTAGTTATTGCAAGACAAATTGTATGTCACCATTTCAATAGCAAAGCTGTTTAAACCAGCTGTTTAAAACAGCTGTAATGACTTTTCTTTGTACAAAAACTATGACCATCATGAAAATGAATGCACTGAAGATATCAAGCAAAGGCGTATACTGATTACCGCTGGATCAATAAAAATTACATAACCAATATAGGGACAGAACAAAGAAAAAGTATTCAATAGACAGTTGCAGTTGAGTGATAATTAGCCTGGCCGCACCATTTAGCTTTTGCGCGGAATGCTTCAGGTGCACGTGCAACGTCCTAATACTACTCCACAGGAAAGGTAACCTGATATGCGAGGAGACACCAAAGCGGTGGAAGCCCTTCGCGAATCATTACATGCCTGTAGATTGATGGCAGGTGCCACATCTCGCTTTCAGCATCTGCACGTGCATGTCGTGTTTGTTGTTTAACTGGAACTTCACTGCGCTGAGAAGCAACTTAGAGAAAACCTACAAGGAAACAGATTAGACTTCGGAATAGACTAGATCGGTTCTTTGCAGCATTGTACTTTTGTAGGCTTGGTCTTTTTTTCTATTGTGTTTCTGAGCAGTACGGTATCCCGCCGCAAATAAGGTTTTGAACAGATGTGAGTGATTTTTCGGCTTTTATTATAAGCCCGTGTCTCGAAGACACTGCAAACGCTCTAATCACCTGTCTTTTTTGTGTCGTCAAGAAAACGCTTCAACGGCTGAAACCATTGCCATCGCTCAAGATCACTCGATAAATACGCATATTATTACCGAGACAATGCGCATGCACCTCAGGCATTATGCTAGGACCCCTTCTCACCACCTCGCGAGCCTAGCTGCTGAAAGGCCCCGCACGACATACGGCACTATTGTCTCAAAGCATCGTTCATCGTTTGCTGAGACATACGCACCTGCATCAAAGCCACTGATTCCTCCTTGGAGCTTGAGCCGGCCGCGAGTTCACTTAATGATTCCAGGAATGAGGAGAAAATCGGACTTACCGACACATGCCCTGAAACAACTGAGTCTATTCCTACTGGAAGAAAACTACAGTAACCACGTGCACATTTACACGGATGGTTCTACTACGCCGTCTAGTTCAGGTGGAGCAGTGGTTTTACCATCACAAGGGGTAACTCGGAGTTTTAGGACTTCACATGTGACGACATCAACTACGGCAGAACTCGAGGCTCTGCGCAATGCACTGGAGCTCATCAATTCAGAAGAAAGACCAGGTAAATGGGCTGTGTTTTCTGACTCAAAACCAGCGTTACAGTGCCTAATATCAGTTCTCCGACGCGGATGCCACGACCAGTTGACCTACCAAACCGTGAAACTTCACCACCTGTTAATACAAAAAGGCCATGACATCGTCTTTCAGTGGTTACCTGGGCATAGTGGTATAGGCGGCAATGATTCTGCAGATCATGCTGCTCGCACATCACATAAAGAAGCGAACAGCGTTCTGATACCGCTTTCAAGAGCGGATGCGGCGAAGAAGATTCGTCAACTGGCCCACAGTCTCACACTGACTGAGTGGAACACACCAAGCATACGACGTACACGACTGCACGAGCTCGACCCTTCACTACAACTCCGGCCTCCACCCGGCCTACATCGACGTGAAGCTTCGCTTCTCTATCGCCTTTGGCTGGGAGTTGCTTTCGCGAAAGCTTATATCACGTTAATCGTAATTACTGACAGTGCGGCGTGCGATGTTTGCGGCACCGACGAAAATATCGAACACCTGCTGTGTCATTGTCCTCGATTTGCCTCAGATAGACAAGTACTTGCCAACGCAATGCGGCGACTGGATGATCGGCCTCTTTCTGTGCAGGTGCTATTACAGCAACGTACACATGCCTCGACAGCCCACAAGGCAGTGAAAGCCCTGCTGTGTTTCGTGAGAAAGACAGGCTTGTGTGAACGCCTCTGACATGCGGGAGAGTTCCACACGCTGCAGTGAAATTACTGTCAGTCTCTCCCCCACCCCCTTTTTTCCCTCTCTTCCCTCTTTCTCGTCTTTCTTGTCCCCTTCCTTAATCCCCCAGTGTAGGGTAGCCAACCAGATGTCTTTCTGGTTAACCTCCCTGCCTTCTCCCCTTTTTTGTTGCTTCCTTGTTGCTTCAAGAAAACGCTCATATTACATCAAAAGTTGTATATTGCTAGGAGAAACGAAATTTCATTTGGCAGGGGTGTCATGAGTGATCTCCAGTGGTTTAGTTATGAGTTACGCCATTCTCGAGAGCGCGCGTCATTGGCTGCGTTGTGAGTGACGTCGTTGCAGCTTTGTTGCCGAACCCACGTGCAACAGTTTCTCCCTCCACGCCGAGTTGGCTCGTGATGTCAGACCCTTGCAACAACGCGGAGTTGCGGCGTGAATGTGATTATTGCGGGAGCGCGTTCGCCGAGGCGAACGCCGCTTTCGGCGGGAATTTCTTCAGTGGCACAATAGCTTCGGCTTCGACATTGCGAAACGCATTTAACCACTCATTACATTCCTTCATGGCCGTGATCATGTGAGACAGAATGTGTGGCATGTGTGGCATCCACGGAGTGAGTGCTGATGAGTGGGGCGAGGCGTCCATCAGCCCATCCGTGCTTCTATACGTCCATTCGTTCTTGCTTCCGTCCATCCGCGCAACCACCCGTGCTTCCATCCGTCCGTACGTCCGTGCGTTCGTCCATCTCCCCGTCTGTCTTCTAGTCTATCTGTCCGTCCGTCCGTGCGTCCATCTAGTGAACACTCCATGTGCCGCCATCTCGCATCTCGCATCCCCCGTGGCACATACCCACTCCACGCGTCCATCCATCCGTCTGTCCATCTGCAAGTCTGCCTGTCCGTCCATCCATGCATCCGTCCGCGCGTTCATCTAGTAAACAAACCAAGTACCGCCATCTCTCATCTCGCATCCCGGTGGCTACGTACGACAACGACGGAGGATGGACAGACCCACGCCTCGAGGAGATTCGCCCCTAAAAAACACCGGGATAAACCTGACGGAAAGGTGTGTTTAACCTCATTAAGAAACACGAACATGTGACCAGTAACTGTGAAATGCTGCAGCACCATGTAGGGTTCAGCCCACCGCTAGACACCGGGGCCGCACGTTTCAGCTTTCGCTAGTTAACTATTTGTACGGAGTGAGTCGCCGGCATGCACTGCAAAATCTACTAATCTCCTTGGGAAACTTTCGGTGCTGCCGCCGTTAGTCTCGCACCGTTACTGCACCGATGGTCTAGACCTCCGCTAATGCACACCTTTTGAAATCATTTTGAGGAATGAGGGAACTGAAGCACATTTTACGGCACAGAACACTAACAAAAAATCATGGCACATCCACGAAGTGAAGTATGATGAGTGGGTGAAAAAGTGGGATCATTCGTCGTTACCGAATGGGCCGAGAATAGTCGGCCCACTATAAAGCCAGGGCTTCCGCACTACACACTGGCATGGACGAAGTACTAGTGTAATAAATAGCATATAATTTACGGACGGGGTACACTCTCTTTAATCTGTTTTTTTTAAACCTTCAACGTTGCAAGCCTGTGATGCGGCTACAACTCTTTCTCATCAGGCCCGCTTTCTGTAACTTACCCCTTGTTCACATGTGCAGCAGGAAGGTGTGCAGCTTCGACAAATTTTGATTCTCAGTAGCATTTTGTTGCTTTCTGCTGTAGCTGCTGAAGAATGAAAACGGGTTGCTTAGTTAGGTACAGACTGACAATATACTGTTGCAAGTATAAGTAGTGTTTTTCTGCTATACTAAGAACAACGTCACCATCTGTACAAAAGTGCATCAAGCAGCCGCTTGTAGTCTGTTAATTAAATCCTCTTTTTGATAGAAAGGGCATTAGGTGTGAGTAGCCGCTGGTGCTTTAGTGTTAAAGACATCTTTAAGTGCATGGAAGCCTGTGAAAGATGATACAAGGTTAGATGGGCAGAGAAAAATAATTGTGGAGATGACGTAGGTATAGCAAGCAGCAAATAAGGTTGATATGCATTACATAGGAAGACATTTTGCCCTGCAGTAGGCTGTTTATGATGTTGATGCATATGTTGATGATGATGCATTCTGCTTTAGTGCCGCGGCCTTGCAACGAAATAGTGGAGTCTCGCCTGCGGATCAATGGGTGTACATACGGACAGTTCATTCGTGACTTCATAAAAGAATGGCGCAGCGTTTCAGGTAAACTTTAGTTGAAATCACCTACCCTGACAACTTCTCTTTTGAATTCTTTAGGATTACAACGGCTTTGAGAACTGCATGGCGAGGTGCTTCATGCCTAAATCTGTTTACGGATACGATACATTCATGCCCACTTTTCTACCGGACAATGCTCGATGCACAGAAAACAACGGGGTAAGTTGAATGCAACATGTATAACCAATTTCGTGGATGCGTAAAGCGCAGCCATGTACAGTCAATATCGAAACGTTAAAAAAAACTTGGTTGTGAATATGCACGTCTCATTAACTTGCTAAGGGATAAAAGACACAGAATAGTCCTAAAGGATACCATTGAAGTTCGCGATAAAAATTTCAGCACAGCATAAAACCTGACTTTCAACTGAGATATTGCGAGAAAATGCTAAAATAGCGGCTGAAAGATTATCCGTTGTTTGCTCTCTATAACCGAGGTGTCTTGAAGGCTTGACAACTGTCGTTTATTTTTTATAAAGGTTCGCGCAGAGCAGAAGAAAAGGGCACTAAAACAGTAAGCGAGTGAGCGAGAAGAAATGTTGTGGGATGCTGATCAATAGAAACCGACAGAGAATGAACTTTGCAGAAAAAAAAGAGGGTCTGGAGCAGCCGTCAGGCTAGGTGGCATTTGCGCCCAGTTGACACCGTGGCAGCAATAAGTCGCAAGGATGGCAGTTTGAAGTAATCGCGCGATTGCCTTTAAGAGATATGTAATCTTGCTTTACACGCTTGCAAATTTCACATTAGTAAAAATGATTTCAGTGCTTTTGCATTCCACTCTATACAAATAGGGGCCCAGAAAACCGCCGTATGAAGAGGATATATATACTCGATATTGAGGAGAAGTAAATATACTCCCTCCATTTTAGTTTCTTTAAATTTACTCGCTTCTCACGACATTAACATCCCTAATACTTTCCTTGGATTTCCTGTCTGTGAGCTGTAATTATTATTCACTCTAACCAAGAAAAACGCGCCCTTAAATTTCCTGTTTCATTCAATTACGCATAGGGGCATATGATAGACTGTAGGATATTATAAAGTTGCTTGCGTTTTACCACGTACCTTGTTTTTGGTGACAGTCCTTGAATAGTGACGCAAAAGGACAGTTTTTCAAGAACAGTCTTATTATTTCAAATATAAAAATAAGAGTGGTTGATATCATCATTACTAGCTCAAATTGTGTACGCAATCAAAAAGCAGTTATTGTTGCCTAACTGTTCACAATTAACCTGAAAATTGCTGGTGTCACATCATTAGTTCAATATTAGTATTTTTCTTTAGCTCAGCTGAAATTAAAGTGACATAATCTTATGAGCATTCTCGCATAGCTGCAGTGTTTGTGCGGACCTTCAACTGGGAAGTCTGTACTTGCTGTGGGCTTGAAGACCTTAGGAGGCTTTATAATTTGAATTAAAATACAGGATTCGAACACCGTCAGCCACAAGTAGTGTGTGGAAACTGCTAAATTGGGGAAATCTACCAAACAGAACTGATTTATATAGATTTTATAATAATTCACCATGTTGGAGCAAGATATAACAATTAGTAATAGTTTCTGGGATTCAAAGTTTCATACCGAATCGTGAAAATGAAGGACACCATAGTCCAGGGCTCCTGAAATGGAGACCACGTGTTGTTCCTTAGCGAGCCAGTAAATCTATGTACAGCTCATTGAAATATTCCAATCGAAAATAAATGTAGCCGTCACACCCACGATTCGATCCCTTGACCATCGGGTGAGAACTCGAGTATCATAACCGCCAATTCACCGTTATGGCGACTACTAATAAGTTATATACAATAACTCGTGTAAGGTGTATAGGCATGAAATCTGAAAGAGTGTTTGTCATGCTTATGTTTCCAGACAATCTGCAGAAATGGCGACTGCATCACACAGAAGCTGAAGCACAGACAATACAGATCCTACAAATAAAGTCAGTAATAAATAATAACATTACCATAATGTCTTTCTCTAGTTCACCTTGCTGCTTTGTTCTCTCATTAAGACAAGTAAACGATTCTGGTTGGTATACTTTCACGTTTATTTATAAGCAAAAAACATTTCTCCACATAGTGCTCGAACAGCGAACACTATGATTTTCCTCACACAGCATTTAAGCCGATCATAATCTGCAGCCATTTCCGTGTGAGGGGCTTAGCAAAGAGGCACATAAATAACGTTACTGATGCCTCGATTGTGATACAAAAGAATAAAAGATTGCGGCAAGTCGCGAGCATGAGTCATCCAATAGCACCTCCTTAATTTCTAAAGTATTACATAGTGTATTACGTAGCCAAAAGAAAAAGCTTACTAACCATCGCAATGGGAAAAAAAAAGAAAATTTGTCAAAGCTCGGCTTGACCGTTTAGGCTTGTCTATTGCAGTGCTCTCGAAATACACGTGTACATAGACTTCACCTGTGGATTTCAAGCAGCACATTCAGGTTACAAGAAAAAAAGTTATTTGAAGAACCAGTCCGTCTCTAAACTTTTATTCCCTCAAGTACGCTTCCTGCCCATTTCATCGAATATACAGAAAAAAGACCGTAATGAAAAATTTGATTAAAAGGAAGCTACTGGTATAAGCACCAATCCCTGCGTTATAAGGAATGAAAAAAAATGTAATTGGAGTGTGAAGTTACAAAAATGCGTTTTGGTGTGTTTGGTTTGTGACAGGTTGCCTTACCATTGAGGTATATGAGACCATTATTTACTTATGTACGCCCTTAATCATTGCAGTTACGGTTTTATTGAAGTAATATATTCGGGGTAGCAAGCGCCTGCCCTCTTGACTTCGTGCGTTTATTTGCCAGCGGAGAGAAGGCGTAGCCAGTTGTTAGGTTTTGCAGAAAAATGTCAGCCAGTGTAGTTTATAGCTGAAACAGGCTTTTTCCGGATGTCATGAAAATCAAACTCTTATGAAAGATTCCTCATCAAGCGCACAACCGACAGCCAAAACAGCATGATGGTCCCGCCTTCGCAGCAGTCTATGAAACGTCAGCTGAACCAATCATTGAATGCTTGTTTTGTTCGTTAAGGACTGCTCTTTCTCCCTACTCAAGTTTTATTTTACCTTCATTTTCTACCTCAAACACCATTATGAACATTAAACATCTGTGAATAATTCTGAACAAGTCACAGTAGTTTCAGAACCGAACTCCAATATAACATTTAGCAACTGCCATTTTTCTCTGTAAAAATGAGGCAGTTGTACTGCAATTTGCTCACGTATTAGCGAAAGTGTACAATTGTATGTATTCTATAACAGTTGTTATTATCTTGAGCACATAGAAGTGTAAGCAATCTTGAGAGTTTTCAGCAAGGATAACACCACAGGCCCTATCTACGTGGCAGCTAGCACAAAATGATGGCAGGCGGCACTCAGCACTCCCATTTCTGAGAGGGTCGAAGTGTTTACAATGGTAAATAATTGCTTGAGTGTTCCAAAAAGCATTCCTCGCTACGGCACTGACACTGACAACGCTAACATTCTAATAGGGACTTTTGAGTTCACACTTTGATTGGTGACAGCTTTTCACGCCCAATGTAACCTCTCCATCAATTAGTGCGCGAGTGGTGATTGTAAGAAAATGGGTACAGCGTTGTGCAAGTTTGTAAAATATTTACGGTATATCATCAGAAAAGATTGAAGAGATCTGACCTATGTGAGAGTGGTGGTATCTGCTAATTTCACTGCTGCTATCCCACAAGGCCCCGCGCAGAGCCGTGGTCCCAGCTGAGGCTGCATAAGTTGCATCTTTTCTTTATTTTAACCTCTCTCTCTCTTACAAGGCTGTGCAACGTGTTTTTGATAAAGAATGAAAAAAGTTGCATATAAAATGTCAGTATCAGTTATTTAGTTACCATAACATGAAAATCTGCTTGGCATATGAGAAGAAGCCATAGAGTACGACAGAGAGTAAAAAAAAAAAAAGTCTGTAAAGGCTAAAGAAAGAAATTTAAGAAGGCTCTGCTGGCCGAAGGGCAATGGAAAGAGAAATGTCGCTAGAAAAAAATACATAAAGTTAAACGCGGACGACGCCGACTGATATAGTGTAATATCTCAGGTTTGCATTTCCGTCATGGTCAGTGAGTTCCTTGCCCGTCGTAATTTGCATTACCATGTCAGTGTACTTCTACAGCTGCGCGATGCGTCACTATGGTCCTAGATCTTCTGCATGTAGCCAAATTGTCTTCCGTTTGGTAGGTTTGGAGCTGCGAGCAGGCCAATAGTCATGACGAATAGTCTTAGTAGGCCTGCGACACTAAAGTGCATAATAAACGATTCTTATAGACAAACTCCACTAGAATTACGTCACGAAAATGCGGTGGCACTGTCTTGGTAGGCAAAAAACGCTCTGCCTAGCGCATTTTCTGCTTGGTTTTCAATAGTGCATGGGATGTTCTCAATCAATCAGCGAAAAAAAAATTGACGGCAGATCCACGAGCAGAATGATGATGAGATTGGGCGAAGCTACTGGCAGTAATACCGTGAAATTTTCTTTCGTTGATTCGCCCGATAAAAAAAAGACGTGAAACGATTGACTAAACGTTTTATCAAACTTTTATTGCTGGTTTTCATTTTGAAACGGTCATCAAAGGTACCTCACCACCCGTCAGAGAATCTTTATAGTTCGAGCAAACCTTGTAATCCTCGGCGGTTGCCGCGAGAACGCGCACTGCAACGTGGCGATGGCATTATTGCAAGACCGTTTGTTTCTGATCGACGATATCGTGATTAGGATGTTGGAGAACCAGAGTCTATCACACACGTTACAGCTATGCCCAAAGTTGACTTTCAGGAAATGTCTATCGAACCGGGCGTCCGCACCTTCGTGTTCTTTTTTGGCACGCTTTGCAGACGCCTCGCGTTCTCTCACCTCTGGGTTTGCCTGGCGATATGCACGCTTCCTCGAGGCTTCCCATTGTCAAACGTTTTCAAGATCTGCTTCGCGACGTTGACGTGCTGCCTCGGCCTCTCGTTCCCGTATGGAAGGATCTTGCCCATGCTGACGTGCCGCTGCATCTTCTTGCTCACGTACGGCGGGATCTTGCCGACGCTGCCTTGCTGATGCGGCTTCTTGTTCCCGTACGGCAGAATCATGGCGGCGACGTCGCGCAGCTTCCCGGCACGCTTCTGCCTCACGTGCTCTCACTTCAGTGCCCTGTCTGCGAGCGCGCGCCGCCGCTGCCCTGCGCGCCCGCCTTTCGGCATCCTTATTCATACGAGCACACACCGACGGCAACGAGAATCGGCAGCTACCAACCTGTATCGATATTGTTTTGATTATAAAATCATTGCTTTAGAAAACACCTGGCGTCTTTCCTTAAGCAGCTGGCGTCTTCTTTTTGTTTTGCTTTAGAAACATCTGGCGTCTTTTTGTTTTGCTTTCAGAAAACATCTAGCGCCTTTCGTTGGTTTATTTCATTATTCAAAGGCGTTTTGAATAAAAATTGTTTTATTGTTCAATCACGCACAGGAGAAATCTCACCAGGCACTACATTGGAGGTAAACACTGGCTGCTACTGGGAATGAGAGACGGCAGAAGTCGGCTTTTAACACTTCTACTAACGTTTCCTACTGGAACATGCCAATGGCTGCTAATGGGGAATGAGAGACAGCCGCATTCGGCTTCTAGTTAACGCGCACGCCGCGAAATCTTTATTGTTCAACAAAGCAAAGGAGAAATCTCCCACCGGCCCCACCTTGCAGGTCAAAATGTAACACCTCTTACACACTACGACTACGACCACGAGGGACGAACGGTTGCCGCTTTAAGCAGCTTCGCCCCTGAAATGGTATGCCGACGAACTGCGTCACGGTTGGATGTCAGTCGCGTCTCACAACTTAGTTTCGTTTGTTGGCACACATCGCAGGCCTCAGCGCTTATGGCGGAAGTTACGTGCGGACGTCACTGTAATTTTACCCATAATGTCGACATCGGCCTACCTGTGTTTACAAGCATGGAATGTGTCCATATGTTTATCCAATTCACTCACTCACGTGTCGGGGGAGGTGGGAGGGCACGTCGTTGTTACACACTTCTTGTCATCTGTCCTTTAACTTTCTGCGTGTATCTTCTGGCGTTGCCCTACGTTGTTATCTGGCTCTTTGCTTTTGAATAACCATGGCTATCTTGGATGCCCTTCAACAAAAATCGATGACTGTTGCAATATTGATTAAAAAGTATATTAGATCAGGGAACAGAAGTGAACTTATGTCATCTCAATGTAATGAAGACGAAGATGGAGGCATCACAAACACTTGAAGAAGCCAAGCAAAGAAGTTCAGCTTTTTATCAAAACGCAGAATAACAGAAAAAAATTAGTAACCTTCTGGCTACTACACACGAGCAGAAGAGTTTAGAAGAGTGCAACAAAAACGGAATGTCTTCCGCAGCCAAATTTTTTGTTATTTATGTCTCCAATTTATTATTAGCATTCTGACCGTACCTGGTCCACGGATGTCTCTATTGTCAGCTTAATAATAAATAAATAAAAACTTCGAGAACAAACTACTCCACTGATAAGTTATCCTACATAGTTCCTACGTTACTTAGTAAATATGTGAAAGCTGGCATAGATTTTTTACGTTGTACACAGATTCGATTGCGCGATATACACATGTTTAGTTTTTAACAATTCTTTGCAGTTGCTGTTATATCATGGTTTCTATTTTTATTTTTGGAATGTAGAATTGATTTTTATATTTTTATGTAATTTTATTTATTTATGTATTTGGTGTTTTTGTTATTGTTGTTGACTTCACATTGCTGATTGTTTGCCACTGCTGTCGTGCTAAAAGGTAGCTGTGGGCCTTTGTCAAGCTGCCTCTTTTGGAGAGCAGCTTTTACCTGCAGCTGTCCTTCATCAAACTATTGATGAAAAATAAACATTATTATTACTATTATTATAATACAAATATAGTGCGTT